TGAAGATGCAGCGCCCCTGGCAAAAGGAACGTCAGTACATGTGGAATAGTACTAGCATGTGAAGCTAAATGTCTTCTTTCGAAATAGAATGCCAATATAAGAAGGGGAAAACCATGGAGACAGCAAGTAACAATCAATGATATCCAAATGCCAAGTTAAAACATAATAAGTTTCAAAATACGAAAAATAATAATATTTTCTTGGTTGGGAGACCATTAGCACCGATATACCATCGTGTTTTTGGTATGGAGTCTGATCACGCCCGTTCGGCTAGGACATCTCTCCACGAACAATGTGGATTGACATGGTGGTGCGAAAAAAAAGGTGTTACCAAGAGCAGGAACCACCATGCGTGTGACATGGCGTCTGATCTCCACCCGATCGGCCAGGCCCCCTTTCCACATATATCGTGTGGGTCGACTTACAAGCCAAGGCTAACATCAATCTAATCCCAATTAAGGGAAATAATCTTATCACATCAATATCATCCCAATCAAGGGGAATATCTCAATCCACTCCTACGCCGGCACGTGTAGTTTTGGGTATGGACCGTTACAACCCACCCTTCCCCCGGCTTGCTAATAATACTCCCAAAAATATTTTATTTTGCACACAAAGGAAATAGAAATACAAACTCATTTACCTCATACCCTTTCACACCATATCTCACTTCATTAGTACTTTCAACCACTCACAACATCATTATTTCATTAGCTCTCTTGGCCATTCATATGATTCTTCATTCACGGCACGATGGTTGTATCTCATATTCCACAAGTTCATTTCTTTACTTTCAAGGATCATAATCATATACATCAACATATAGAATATTTCGGAAATTATAACTTTAAGTTCATTAGTAATGAAGGCTTTAAACACAATAGACTTCTTTCCAAAGTACGGAGCAAAATGACTTGCAATCGCAACACAACTTAAAAATCATAAACGAGTAATACACCATTTCTTTTTGAAATACTTCTCTAAAAAGGAAATGCACAGTTTCAACTCATGGCTAAATAAGAATTCAAAACACATTGGAAACTCTTACAAAGGAGATCATGGTAATTTACGATTAAAACACAAATTAAAATCATACGCTCTAGTTACAACAATCATGGCCACATTTTATGTCTCACTTTCACTTCCTTCACTTCCAAACATCGTCATAGTTTATCAACAATAAGGGCATTTGCAAAAATAAAGATTTGATATGTATATGAGAAATATGAGTCTTAGGCACACTGGGTTTTCTTTCCAAGTTAAGCATAATAGACTTCCATTTAAAATACTAATTGAAGTCATAACATTTTAATACATAAACCATACTTGAACACATTCTCGAAGAGGTCATAATAAGATAGGAGCAATTGGAACACGTTTTGAGTATATACATCTTTCAACACAACGCTTACTTGGGATAACCGACTCTATTAGGAACAACTCGGAACAGAGATATTAGGAACCTGGGCCAACCATAATTGAAACTTACAGGAACATCATGGAATTCGATTCTAAGAGTGAAGTTTAGCTAACGTACCTTTCTTGAGCTTTCCTTAGATTTCTACAACGTCCCAATACTCTTAACAATATCAATCTATAGGAAGATAGCGAAATCGGATAATAATTAGAAGAATTCTCATGATATAACTCTCTTGAGAATTTTATCAAACATCTAGTACAAAATCTACTACAAGGCTCTACAATGGTAATACCTTCCTCCCTCAACTAATTTTAACAAAAAAACTACCCAAAATAGTCCAACAACCCCCATATACTACCACATATTGTCACATGCATGGCCTATCTCCAACTCCATAACCTACTTAAACCCATAATAATTGCATGAAGGTTTTAGGACAAGGTCTTAGCCGGGTAGATGATAGTCTAGTGAGTGGCTTCCGTTGAATCTTCAAGATTAGGGCAAGAATTGATGACCAAAGCACTTGGGGATCCTTCCTCTCTCACTAAAGCACTGCCCTCTCTCTAAAATATGCCTTTAACCCAGCCAAAATAACCCCAAAGTCGTTTTATAAGAAATGGGATCAGGTTATAAAAATACAAAATGGACCCTTCGAACTCAACTCTACCGTCGCAGAGTGGACCGCAGAATAGATATACGGCCCACAAAATGGACCGCAAAAATAATCCCAAAAAAATTGGGCTGGCCTAGACAAGTCTGCAGTCTGTAGACCAGATATGCGGCCGCGAAATGAACTGCAGAATCACCCTCCAAAATTCTTCATGCTAACTCTACGACGGAAGTGCGGATCGCGAAACGGATATGAGATTGCATAATGTACCGCAAAACAACCTTCAAAATTTAACTATTTTTCTGCTCAACTCTTCGATGGGTATGCGGCATGCGGAATGGTTCTGCTGTCGTGAAATTGACCGCAGAATTGCCTTCTTCTGCCAAAAATTTCCATCAACTCCTCAATACATTTTTCAATCCAAAAAGTCCGTACCTTCGAACACATTAACCTACATCGGCACCACAAAACCTTAATTTCCTTGGCAGAAATTTTACGGGCCTTACAGAACCCAAACCATCCATTCTCGCAAGTTACATAATAACAAATACACATATGGGGAGCATCAAGTAGGAGAACGAAGCTAAAATACACAAAATGACCAACCTAGTTGTTACAATTTGAGTAAAGAAGAGTCGAGTGTCTCTTCAGCAGATACATACTTCGGAACCGCAATAAAAGTAGCATATTTAAAAAATCGATCCACCACAATAAGAATGATAGTGAGATCTCCAGCCTTGGGCAAGCCGGAGATAAAATCCAGCGAGACACTCTCCAAAGGCCTCTTTGGGACAGGCATTATTTCTAATTAAATATTCATTATTTATGTGAATAACATATAACAAATGACTAATCTACAAGTTCTTTCTGTGCAACTTCGAAGTTCGAAGCAGAAAAGGTTCAGATAATGATATTTATAAGCTTACTAGTTTACCACAGTGCTAATAAGGTAGATAATTTTTCTTTGAATTATTACTTTTGCTTTGAGTCTCGTGGTTGGCTTTCAAGGTTCCTTCAACCATACCATCTTGCCTAATGAGCATCTTTGGCTCTTCTGCCTGCAATATATTTAGCAATTCTACCATTGTAATCTTGGACAATATTTTTTGTTTTCTAAGGTAACAATGGATACTTCATATCTTTCCGGCACCGCAACGAGAATTTTTTGAACAATTATTGAATTCTTAAATTTAATACCAAGCAATCTTACATTGTTAACCATTCTAAGCGAACGATCTGAGTATTCTTTGACTGTCAGATTTCTTTATTTTCTGCAACTCAAATTCCCTTATCAAATTCAACACTTTCATGCCCCATATTCTTTCATCTTCTGTATATTCTTCTTTCATATAATCTCAAAAAAAATGCCGATTTGAGAGCCATAACTCTCGTAAAAATTGTCATAGATATACCAGCAAATAAAGTTACTTTCATCTTTGATTTTCTGATTTTCTGATTTTCCTGTCGTTGTGGCTCTTTGATCTAGTCCACGATGGGATTGTTGGGAAGCGGAAGAAGATTATAACCCTTTTACACGGTCTCATAAAGATCTAAAGCCTCTAAGTAAGTCTTCAATCACACTGTCCACAGTTGGTAATTTTTACCATCAAAGACTAGAGGAGCCAATTGAAAAAAATTCGTTTCAGTCTCCATCTCACTCAAAAAAAAAAAAAATACTCACTCAGATACCTTAAGAAGATGGCTCTTGATACTAATTGTTGATATATTTTTCTTAAGAAGAAATTGGAAAATAACATAGGAATTGCTAAGAGAAGTATACTAGAATAGAAGTAGCAAATGAAACTGTGTTTCTCATTGATTAATTTCAACTTAGATACATGAAGAAAATAACTGAAAGACTTAACAAACTGCTGAAAATATGCTAAAGATAACACAAATAACAAACTCTTACTTTGACGCCACGAAAGATATAACAGATAACAACAGAAATCTTAAACCTAATTTTCGGCAAATTTCTTAGAGATAATGCAGCTATCTTTTTATTTTTGCAACTTCCTAATGCATATTGTCAACAAGGAATATGAAAATACATAAGGGATAATAAGGTAAATTAGTTGGTCAAATCTCAAGTGCTTTTAAGCCAAAAAAAAATAATAGGTTTGGTAGATAACTTATTGCTTTTGGCTTATTTGGAATTATTTTTGGCTTAAAAGCTTTTTTTAAGTTTGTCATACATCAAAACAAGTTAAAAAGTTCTTTTAAGCTAGTTTGACCAGAGCTTAAACTACACCCTCTTGATATGTGAACTTACCCACCGAAATATTTGGACAAATTTGACAGCCAAATCAAGTGCTGCTTTTTCAACTCACATAGAAAAACAAATTTCTCAAAGAAAGAAAATAAACAAATGATGCCACATGTGAAGATGCGACACCATTTTTTTCAAGGTTATTCCTCCTATTTTCCAACCAATCCTCGATTTGTTTTCCAGCATTGAGTCCCTTCAAAGTAGAAAGATTCAGAACACATGAAACCACTGGGTCGCACAGGAGACAAGAAAGTCACTTCTTCACTTTTCATACTGAGCATGATCATATTATATGTATACATTTAAAAGTTCTTTTGCGTGTATATAGATATAGATAGGCCGCACCAAAAGTAACAAGTCCAATTGAACCCATAGAACTCATTCTAGATCCACACTTATCGGCAGTAGATATTGAGATTTGGAATGTCGTTTGTGGACATTGTACATATTATTGCAACAATGGTCTGCCAAACTGGTCAACCAAATTTTATAGGCACCCAAGCATGCCGAGTTTAAAGAAGGAAAATGCACTAAAGAGTATTGGAGGCAATTGTATGGTGAAGTACTTAAGTGTCCTAGATAATGCAAAAGGCGTTGCATATTATGCAAAGAGTTTTTGTTTACGCGTGAAATCTAGTCGCTGGTTTCAAATTTGAAAAACTAAGAGTGTCTGCAGCACACATAATACTAAGAGTGTCTACTTATAGATAATAGATATATCTGCATAGCAAATAAGTATTTGTCTCTAGTTTTATTCATGACATTGTCGACATGGGAGAAGACTTTGGAAATACAGAAGGAAAAGGTTACAGAAAAAAGATAACTCTTCTCTTCTGATGTACAATGGAAAAAAGTTCCCTCTATGTACAGGAACATACTATCAGAAACATAGTTACAGCCAAGCACTTATTTCTGAACCCCACTTTTACCAAGGACCTGTCTGGGTCCTTCTCAAGCATCATCTTTTAGCTCCTCGTTGAAGGTTCATCATCTCCTGAACCTGTAACATCAAATGTAAGTAGTGTCAACTGAACTGAAGCAGCCAAAAATGCCTTAACAAACTCAATTTTGAAATTTGTTAAACTCGTAGGAGCAAAGCAACGTTGAGCTTCAACATATAGAGATACAGGTGGGAGAAATAGGGCCAGCCTATGTGGATTAGACAGTGAAATCGCAAGGTACATAGTAATTTATATGGATGGAATTGATGTACTAGCAGAAATAGGACTTTTTCAGACAATTCAACCTTTTATTAGGAAAATTTTGAAGTCTAGCATGGTAAAAACAGAATTGAAACATAAGATTATCATCAGTTTTAGCATAATAAACTAGATAGGTAAGTACACTTTATGTAAAAGAAATAGAGCAGCCTAGCACTAAGATGGTGCTAACAGCTAAGGCATTTTACAGGTTAGGAATCCCCCATGCAAAAACAAAAGGACAGGACTCCCATTGTACAAAGACAAATAATTCTATGAAATCTAGCATGCTTCCTTATCTACCTTGGCAATTTCACTGTGAATGGCACGGCAAAAGATACCCTGAAAAGGTTTAGCAATGAAGACCAAATTTGGACATTGCAGAAAGAGGTGGGTGCAGCTTTCTACCTCACTGTTACACAAAAAAAAACCTACTGCATATTGCCATTTCCCCTACTCTGCAGATTACTGTGAGTGAGACACGCATTGCGAGTGACAAGCCACATAGAACAACTAATTTCGTAAGGTGCCTTGGATTTCCATAACTACTTCCATGGACAATTGGTAAGGTTGTCCCCTACACTATTGATCGTCATATAACATGAATTTAGAAGAGTCCATTCTGTTTCCTTGTCCATTCCATGCAATACTCAGCTTTAGCCTTTAAAGACACTTTTTTCTAAATCTTTCAACAGGAGAGCAATTCTAGGAACTTCCAAATCAAAGCAATTTTTTCCTAAAACTTATAGATCAACTTCTAGCATTCCAGCATCATGAGACAAGGTTTCCTGCAGTGTTGATGAAAACCATAAAGATCGTGGACAGAATATTTAATGGTAAATGTCCTATCCAAGCATCACTTTGTATTCCTGCTATTACCAATATTGATCTGTGCAAGTCTCAAAAGTAGGGCAAAGGCTGCAAATATTTTTCCATAAACCTAATCCATTAGTATCGTGGACTAAAACCAGCAACGTTTATTAAAAAACCATGTTGAACCCGTCAAGTCCTAGGGACTTTACACCCTCAGAGCTTCTATTCACATTTGCACCTGGTATTTTTGTCCCCAACCTTAATTCACAAGATTTTTTATCTTTGCCTCCATGAGATATCTTCAAGTTTTGCCACCTCCTGAAGCTCCATCACAGTGGCTTTCCTTTGTGCTAACTACTCTTCATTTAGCATACCTTCTTCTTTAGCACTTTCTAAAACCTTTTGCTTATTCAAAACATCTCTTTCTTCTGTATAGGCAGCATTATGACTCACTATCCATGCTTTTAAGTTTTGCTTCAACATCTTTAGTTTACAGAAGCATATAATCAGGATAACCTTTAACCACAAAAGAAATCCAGCAATCTTTTAGCCTTTCCAGGAAACCTTCATAATCCATCAACATGGTTTCAAACTTGAACTAGGATTTTTTCTTTCCCCATCTGCCACTGTAATTCTATCAGATTATGGTCTAACCAGTGTTTGGTTACACAAACTTTTTAATGTTGTTATAGTAATCATCCCATTCACTGGAAAATAAGAACCTGTCAAACCTTGATACCATCTCTGAATTATCCCCCACAGACCAAGTAAAATTTCCTCCATAAAGATGCAGGTCAAATAAGTTCCATTCTTGAATAAAATCCTAGAAGTCTTGCATTTCTGAAGTGTCTTTTGCTATTCTCTCTCTTCTAATGTATCAACATTTAAATCACTTGGCATCACCTATGGAAGTTGCCTGAAACCTCTAGTTGCTGCGAGCAAACCATAATCCCCTTCTAAGTACCTTCCGGTAAGGACCATAGATAGCTGAAATGGTCCATTTAAAATCACTGACAGCGCTTGCAAGCTATGTCGATAATGAGCATTCACCCCTGACACAATCAACTGCTTCCCATTGTCTCTTATCCCATAAAATAATCACACCCCTGATGTTGATAGTCTCAAACACTCCTAATCTATCTGTTAGGCCAAATTTGTCTTGTCATTTTAACTCTCCAATGTTGCATTTTATTAGTCCCTTGAAAGCAACACAAGTAGCTTTCCAGCTATTAACGAGAGACTTTGTAACCCTCCTCTTCCTACTACAGTGTAGACCCCCCACATTCCAACTAATAATTTTAACCTAAATCCTGGTGCAATCTTATCTTTTTTTACCCCGTCTTTTCTCTTCCGGATCCCCATAATCGATGTTAAAAACCAAATATGTAAGTTCCCTAAGACCAATTTGCTTCTATTGAACCGGAATTCTGCATTGTATGATCTCCTTTCTCGCACCCTATTTGCACTCAATTCTAGTGAACAAGGCTAAGGCTTCCTCTTCACAACCCTTGAAATCCACTCCCACTTGCTTACCCACCCTGATAATACTCCTTTGGCCCTATTATTGGATGCACTATCTAGGAACAAAGGACTAGAAGGCAGCAGACACTGCTGCATATCTATGATTTAAGTTGCTCGAAAACGGGTGCAGGTATCCGACACGGGTACGGATCTAGAGGTCGGATCCTTTGAGATGTAAATTCTAAGATTCGGGGATAGGGATCCTAGTACAGAAACAGGTGCGCGGATCTGACTAAAATTAATTCAAAAAATATATATAAAAATATCTCTAAATTATGAGAAATTTCGTGGAATACTTACGTATAGCTTGTAAAGTGTGAATTTCTTTTTTTATTCTCAAGTTCAGAAATTTTATGGAATACTCCTTTCTGGCCTTTGTGGTTTGATACTGCTTATTTCTATTGTTGCTTTTCATTTTCTTGAGCCGAGAGTCTACCGGAAACAGCCTCTCTACCTCCTAAGGGTGGGGTAAGGTCTGCGTACACACTACCGTCTCCATACCCCACTTGTGGGACTCCATTGTGTTTGTTGTTGTCTCAAGTTGTAGATAAGTAAAGGATTGATTTCCTAGATAATGTATGTTATTTTCTTCAAATTTACCCTATTTTTTGTTCTGATTTCGGGAATCAAATTGTATCTGGACTCGAATTTTTTCGCCCATCGTGGTCAAAGTACCCAAAATTGTTTGACCAGATCCGGCATGGATCCCATACCCATACACATACTAGTGCCATGTCGATACGGGTGGGCACCTAAACTGCCATGTCGGAGCAACTTAGTCTATGATCACCTCTACCCGTAGTAGAGCAAGGAGCTCATCTATATATTATTGAAAGGAGAGGAAATAGCCTCCACATTAAGCCAAGTGGAAGCCTCACAATAGGCCGCTTCGCAATTTAGGACAAAGTTAGGTTAGGTAATAATTAGTTTCTTTTTGAATTTATATTTTTAAAAATTTAAATTATACAACAACAATAACGACATAGTGAAATCCCACTAGTGGGGTCTGAGGAGGGTAGTGTGTACGCAGACCTTACCCCTACCCCGAGGGGGTAGAGAGGCTGTTCCCGAATGACCCTCGGCTCAAGAAGACAAAAAGAAGGCGAAAAGAGGCAATCTATCAATACCATCAATAGAAACCATAGAACAAAGAACAGCATCACCAGAACTAGAAAATAAGTGAAAAGCAAAACAATAACCAGTAGATAAAGCAGTGCACTAAGAGGAACGAAAGAGTAGTGTGAACTTAACATTAACCACTAACAGTCAAAGACCAAGTCCTAACAGACTAGCCTCACTCTACAGCGCCGTAGAGATATTCCCAACTACCTCCTAACCTACAACTTTAATGCTCGATCTCCACAACTTCCTGTCTAGGGCCATGTCCTCAGTAATCTGAAGCCTTACCATGTCCTGCCTGATCACCTCTCCGATACTTCTTAGGCCACCATCTACCTCTCCTCATGCCCACCAATGACAGTCGCTCACACCTCCTCACCGGCGCATCTGGGCTTCTCCTCTGGACGTGCCCGAACCATCTGAGCCTTGCTTCCTGCAGCTTGTCATCCATGGGAGCGACACTCACCTTCTCCCGAATATTTTAATTCCCAATCTTATCCATCTTAGTATGCCCGCACATCCACCTCAACATCCTCATTTCAACTACTTTCATCTTTTAGATATGTCAGTTCTTAACTGCCCAGCACTAAGCCCCATACAACATGGCCAGTCTAACCACAGCTATATAAAATTTACCTTTGAGAATCTGAGGCACTTGTCACACAGGATTCTAGACGCTAACCTCCACTTCATCTACCCAACCCCTATACCGTGTGTGACATCCTCTTCGATTTCCCCATCCCCCTAAATAACCGACCTAAGGTACTTGAAATTGCCCTTCTTGGGGATGACTTGTGAATCAAGCCTCACGTCCAACCCCGCTTCCGTCGGCTCAGTGCTGAACTTGCATTCGAGGTACTCCGTCTTAGTCATGCTCAACTTGAGACCCTTAGACTCAAGGGTCTGTCTCCAAACCTCTAACCTCTCGTTGACGCTGCCTCGCGTCTCATCAATCAGCACTATGTCATCAGCAAATAACATACACCATGGAAATTATGCATTACGTATTGTTAATAATTAGTCACTCTATTTTAATTTGAATTATAACATACTTAACTTTTTTTTCAGAAATAATAACTTTTATATATTGAAAATTATTTATTTTGAAACCTATTTTATTTTAAATTGGGAAGTGGCCAACATATAATATAACTTCATATATTATATTAAAAGAATGATAATGAAACATGAGGTCAAGCCAAGTGTCATATGGAGAAAATGCTACTTCGCACTTTAAAGGCAAGATTTAACTAGATTTTATGACAAATCTAACATAGATCTATATTAACCACCAGCAGTTTAAGACACCTCTATCAGACTAGCCTCACACTGGTACAAAGTAGAAAAATGTTCAACTATCTCCTAACCTACAACCCTAATGCTTGACCTCCACATCTTCCTATCAAGGGCCATGTCCTCGGAATATCTGAAGGCACGCCATATCTTGCCTGATCAGCTCTTCCCGATACTTCTGAGGTCGCCTTCTACCTCTTCTCGTACCTGCCAAAGCCAACCGTTCACACCTCTTTACTAAAGCCCAGATGCCCCGGTAAGGAGGTGTGAGTCGTTGGTTGTCTTTGACGGGTACGAGAAGAGGTAAAGAACGGCCTAAGAAGTATCGGAGAGCGGTGATCAGGCAGGACATGGCATGACTTCAGATTTTCGAGGACATGACCCTTGCTAGGAAGGTGTGCAGGTAGAGCATTTTAGGGTTATAGGTTAGGAGGTAGTTGAACATTTTTCTATTTCGTACCGGGTGTAAGGCTAGTCTAATAGGGTTTTGTGTTAAGACTGCTAGTGGTTAATGCTGTGCTCACACTATTCTTTCATTTTTCATAGTACCGGGCCTTATTTACTTGTTATTGTTATTGCTTTTTATCTATTTTCTGGTCCTTATGTTGCTGTTATTATTTCTATGGTCTCTGTTGATGGTACTGATATATTGTCTCTTTTCGCTTTCTTGAGCCGAGGGTCTTTCGGAAACAACCTCTCTACTCCCCCAAGGTAGGGGTAAGGTCTGCATGCTCATTACCCTCTCCAGACCCCACTTGTGGGCTTACACTGGGTTGTTGTTGTTGTTGTATAGATTTGTATCGAAAATTGGTATTGCGAAGAGTGTATCTGAAATAGAAAGCTAAAATACACAATCTATAATATTCTTATTAAATTATATCATTGTATATATTTGAATTGATATACAAAAATATTTGAATTGAGATAAAGCTTATAAATTTGAATCGAGCGACAAAACTATTTTGAATTAATTTAAAAAGTAAAATACATTATTCTCTCCTCCCCTATTTACATTGCTCTCGCAGGTCATTACAATTCACACAAAATAAAAGATATATAATAACAAAATAATTACATACAAATAAAAAATAAAAAATAAAAATTTTAGTAGGAAATAAAATAGAAGAAAAGTCTAATTGCTTATTCCATATAATGCAAAAAATAATTATTAAAAATATTGAAACATTTTATACGAAATAATAAAAGAACATATATTTTGGAAGAAGTAAAAAAATCAAAGTTAGTATTAACTATCAAATTATTTCAGTAATAGATTATTGATAAAATACTAAATATAAGAAATAAAAGAAAGTAATTAAATAATACTCAATAAGTTATTGCTAAATTTAGACAACTGAAGAATTAAGCAAGCTTGAAAGTGAACCAAAGTGGTAATCAAGCTTGATATGAAGATAATATATTAAAAGCTGCCTAAATTATATTAAAAGGATAGTAGTCAAGCTTGATATGAAGCCAAGTGGCCTATTGAGAAAAAGCAAAAAAAATATAGAATGATGAGACTTATTTAAATTTGAGATGAGAAAGTGGTTTTTCAATTATGATGAAAAAAATAAAATAGATAATACCACATAATTAAAAACTTAATAAAATCAAAATCAAATAGAATTGAACAATGAAAGAATTTCAAGTAACGAATAAACAAACTTACTCACAAGAAAAAAAAAATCTAGAGATAAAACTTATTTGAATTTGAGATGAGAAAATATCTTTTGAATTATGATGAGAAAATTCATACAAATAGTAAAACATAACTACAACATACAACAACATACCAAATATAATCCCACAAATAGTAAAACATAACTAAAACCATAATACATAAAGTAAAAAATAAAAAGATCTAGAACAATGAACGAACTTCAAGTAAAAGAGTAATAAATTAATAATCAACTTTCTTACCAGTAAGAAATCTATATTATCCATGTTATATTAAAGGAGGTAATACGCAACAACATTAAATCTAAAGGCAAACCAATAAAAAGTTCACATGATAGTGCAATCACACTGACCAACGAGTAAAGCAATAACGATAATCGAGGAACAAAAGGAGAAAAAATGGTATAAAATATAAAATGGTATGATTTATTAGAATTTTAAATCAAAAAGTGTATTTGAGTTATAATTACAAAAATAATACATATGTAAAATATCACGTAACTTAAATCTTAATAGATAAAGTCAAAAACAAAACATATTAGGCAATGAAGAATACAAAGCAATAAAGCATAATTTTAAAAGATAGTTGAATTTAATAATTAAATCTTAAAAATCGAAATTTTAATAAAAAGTCAAAGAAGAAGAAAAATTTAATTTCTAGGCATATAATACAAAAATACCAATTATTAAAAAAATTGGTAGATTTATCACTAATAGAGAAAATTAATTTGTGTTTTGGACGAATTCAAATGAAGATGTACAATGGGAAAAAAGTTTCAAGAAAAAACTTTAGGAGTACAAAAAAATAGATATCTTTATCTATATTATATTAAAAAGAGAGAATTAACAAAAATACCGAGGTAATAAAACGTCATAATAGCAAATGAAATAATACTAAATATAGTAGATTATGTAATAAAGAAAAGTGAGGAACTGAAAAGTTATTCGATGACCATATGAATCTTTTTCTAATTTCGTAAGATTTTTGTATTGGGCATGTTTTGCTGGATAAAAGAAAGGAAATTGAAATTTAATTCAAGCAATGTGATATAATATGGTCAAACAAATTAGATCACACAACATGATTTATATTCTCCGGGTGATGCGCGAGTGCTATACTAGTGAGAATAACACGATGGGCTGTCATCTCTAGGAAGTAAATCTATACAACTGCCCGTCTCCGGTTTTTCAGTTACTTCGAAGTTCAGAAATCTTTCATTAGTTAGGCCATTTCTCTGTGAGGAAGAAGCTCGGACATACTGGAACGAATTATCCAGGAACCATTCGTATTAGTACCGGGAGCTATGTTAATGACAGCTTCGCACTTAGGCTTCTGAAATTTCCACCGTCACTGGGTCCAACCTGGGCTCATTAAGGAATGCTCTCTGATGGGCCAAAACAACATCAGACAAGTAGTCCCTTTTCTCAATTAAAACAGCATTCGCTAGCCTAACATTCCAGGCCCATAGTAAGAGAACTGGGGTCCTTTGGGCAAGCATGCTTATAACGTGTATGGTCAATGAGATTGTTTTTTCTTTGTGAGCAAAGAAACCACACTTCTTTGTGAGCAAAAAAACCACACCGTATTTTCAGACCAATGAAAATGCTTGAAAATGATTTTAAAGTAACTGCCCCCCTAAAAAAGACTACAGGCTGATAGAAGAAGTTCCGAAATGGGTACACCAGTAACTCAGAAAATTGTAACAGATGTTCTATGCACTAAATAAAAATATACTAGTCATACATAGAGATAACAGGATTCTAATAAATATAATGCATTTTGGTCTGGTACAATGTGATGGTATCAGTCTAACTATATATGTGATCCAAAATAAAGCAGACATGAGTACATGATTCACCAAGACTTGTTCATTTTTCCCTTCAAGAAAGTAGATAAAGCATGAGGGGTTTGACTTAGAAGTAAGAGGAAAACAATAATTTGAAGTACCTGATTCTTCTGCATTTCCATCATCTCTGCCTGCAGCAACACAGTCTAGTTAGTGATGCATCATCAAGAAGTGGCTATGCATGGATTCGCTGTACAAAAGGTCACCTGTTTCTTCCGCAATTCTTCGTTTTCTTCTTTAAGTTTTGCAACTTCTGCTTCTAGCTCCATTGTGTAGGCCTACAGTATGTTAAACAGGTGGATCAGCAGCGATGAAAGTATAAACCATATTAAATAAGTGTTAAGCTGGTAAGTATAGGAATCTGGTAGGGGCAGATTCGATGTTTGCTATATTTATGAAGATTAAAGCACAAGGTTTTGAGGAATTTAAAATTTGTGATGGCTTTTCTCACACATGTCATCATTGCTTTCTAAAGCACACATTCTCTAAAGCTTCTCATGAAGTGTAACCTGTCATATCTTGCCACATCATATAGCTATCACATTACCATTATGCTACATAAGATATCCAATCTTTTGCGGAGTTGAAAGATCCACCATGGCCATCGATAAAAGCAGTATGTTTAGAAACACCTTTCTTGTGTGGGTTTTGGTTGTTGTTTGGGGGGGGGGGGGGTTTTAGAGGCACTATTAATGATCATTTTTCTACCCCTTCCAAACAACACAACGGATAACGGATAGAGGACACTGTTTTCTTTGGCAAGTGTAGCAAACCAGAGTGTAAAATTTAAAAGAAGAAAAAGAACGAGAACACCAGAATCTACATGGATAATTTATCTAGTTGCTTTTTCTTCTATCTCCTAGTGTACTCATATATGCTATGTTTACGACCTTCTATTATTTTTATTATTTTTAAGATACTGAAAAAGGTTATCAGGTCATAAAACCTTGATCAACCCCTGCCCTTAACATGAGACTGCACCCACAATACCACGCCTCTACATACCACGCCACTCAACCAGTTCCCAGTAACCATATCTTTACCTGCCTACCATTGCACCTCCGCTTAGACAACTGCTATATACACAGGGAGAATAACCTGGCTCTGATACCACAAGGGAGGGTGTAGTACCTGGAATCATAGACTGATAACAATTATAGTAGAGATTAAATTACTGTAGCAAAAGTCCTCCTACAAGGGTGTTGTTAGCCTAGCTCAAAGAGGCGCTCTTGCCAACAAATTGCTACGCTTCACATTAATTCGGAAAATCTCTCACTATAATAAGCACATTTACTAAAAACATGTAACTCCCTACATTATATAAGGATCAGCCTCCCATACCTTGAGAAAAGAAACAAGAGAGAATTTAGCTAGAAGAAGACATTTCTATTACATATTATATTTACAAAGGTTACCCGATGTCTTCCAACTACTACAAGGCTCCTTTAGCTTTATGTAGGATATGGAGAACTACTACAACATACAATTTGTGAATTTACATAGCATAAGTAAAATTAAAATAAACATGACAAGTGGTCTTCCACAAATAAAAGATATAAAACTTAATGTTAGATCACCTATATTAGTTGGTGTTTCATGTGCAAAGGTTCGGGGGAAGATGTTGATCATCTCATTTTGCATTGTCGAGTGGCTTCACTACGCTGTACTTTGGTCCTTAATTGGTTTGGAGTGCAATGGGTGATGCCGGGCACAGTGAAAGAGGTGATGCAAAGTTGGGACGACATGAATGGGAAGATAAGTCCAAGGGCGTGGAAGTTTGCTCATTTAGCTATCATGTGGGTTATATAGAAAGAGATAAATAGGAGAGCTTTTGAAGGGGTTGAGTTAGGTTTTGTAGAGTTGCAAAATAGTCTTTTATCTCTAGTTTCTTTTTGGTGTACCCATGAGGTCTCTATTTGTATAGATGCTTTGGCGTCATTTATTGAGAACCATATTTTGGTGTAGTTCTCTTTTTCTGGTATACTACTTGCATACGGGGTTCTCCCCTTCTATTAATATAATTATTTACCTTATAAAAAAAAAAAAACTAATGCTAGACAAGTAGTAGGGAATCTCTTAAATTTTAGAGACTTTTAGTAGTGATGGACAAGACATGGGATAGAATAGAGAATCTTTTTCATGAACTAGGGAATAAGTCATAGGATAAAGTCAGTTTTATAGCAAACAAGATATGGAATGGAGTAATTTGCATGGCATGGGATAGTGGGCTTTTTATGGCATAACAAGACATGGAATAATGGGATTTTATGGCAAAGGGACCTAAAAGATAGTGGAAAAATATGGAAATTTTAACAGTACATAATTAGACAAAAGATGATAGAAAAACATAGAATAGTGGAAAGTTTTGACAAGACATGGTTAGACAAAAGATGGTGATCTTGAAATAAAGGCTTTGGATTTTAATTGGAAAATTATGGTGAGATAAAAATGGCTAAAGGGTTTAATGACTTGTGAAATCTTCTTTAACCCACCACTTTAGGCCATGCTTTTTTTTGTTAACCTTATTTTATTTTTCAACCCCCTTTTTTCTTTTTGTGTGGCATCTTACCAACCTCTTTTTTCTGCTCTTGTGAAATTTCTTTTGCCATGTGATGATTCTTCTTCCATAACCGTTCCTCTTTTTTTTTCCTTCCTTTTGGTGAAGTATTGGTTGGCATATTATCTAATCCCAACAATTTCTACTGGATCAATTTCATTTGGGTCTTGAGAGTCTTGAAAATTTTCATAAGGTGCATTGTACTCCTTACGTGCTTTTACATTTTCCCATGAGGATGACTCGAAGTATAATTCCAACTTCCTTCTTTTAGCCATATCGCATTTCGAATACCTATTTTGTTAGAAGATTATCATGTGAGCTTCATAATATGAAATGTTCAAGCTCAATGGTTCTCTCCTTAAAAATTTATAGTCAAACACTTGAAAGGTTAGAACAATGTTGTAAATAGCGAGCGCTACGCCGCTAATAGAGTGTGGCGACGCGACGCGAGGCAGTATCGCTATTTTGCTCTGTTGCGTTGCGATTCATAAAAGGCGCGCGCCTCTGCTTGTGTCGCGAGAGGCGCTGCGAGGCGAGAAGCGTTGTGAAGCGACGCTATTTTAAAAAAAAGGAAGAAAAGGCAGCGACGGAGATTAAAATACAAAATTAGGGCTTGGGTTTTCACTTCTTCTCCTTCCGCGACTATTTCTTAGCAACAGAAAAATTTGGGCTTGGATTCATCTTCTTCCATCATCAGCCATCAGCACAGTAACCCCGGTATGTTACTTTCTTTTCTTTTCTTTTCTTCTTCTTCTCCTTTCTTTTTCTACTTTCTTCTTCTTCTATTTCAGCTGTCTTTTTCTTTTTTCAGTTCGACTTCGACCATTGTTGTCTTCTTCTTTTTTTCTTTTTCTTCTTCTTTCTTCTTTCTTCTTTCTTCAGTGATCAGCTCTTTCTTCTTTCTTCCTTCCTTTTTCTTCATCTTGTCCTTTTTTTTTTTGTGCTCTGTTTTTCGACCAGCAGCAGAGGCTCTTTATTTCTTTCTCCCCTTCCTCTTTCTTCTTCTCTTATTTTTTTTTTTGGCTCTATTTTTCGACCAGCAGCAGAGGCAGTAGAGTCTTTTTAGGCTCTATTTTTTTTGCTCTGTTTTTTCAGTTATAGACTTATAGTCTTATAATTATAAAGTAGAATTAATTGCATATTGAATCTACTATGACTATCTATAGAGTAGAATTAATTGCTTGTTTTAGACTTTTAGTTTATGAATCTTCTATGACTATCTGCTGAGTTTTTAATTTTTGAATTGATATAATTATTAATATATTATTGTTATTGAGTTTTTAGTTATATATATAATATTCTATGTTTTTGTATAAATTGTCGCTTCACATCAAAAAGGCGAGCGCTTAGCTGCGCGCCTCTCGCCTCAGTGAAGCGGGCCCTCGTCGCTATTTGTCGCCGCACACTATCCAAAACACTGGGTTAGAATAATATTCTTGCAGATTTTCTCAAGACCAGATGAACTTTCAAAAAAAATCTTGTAAACGGCATAAGCCAAAACAAAAGTCAACAAGTTAGTTATTCATATTCTCAAAGGTCCCAAGATCACCATCATAACCATCTCATCTTCGACATTTTAGTCCCAATTGATTTATCCATCCTATTGGAGAGAAGGACTTTTATGAGCTATGGAGGTTTCGTTCTTAAACCCTTTGGTGTTAACCCAGAATATCTATTTTGCTAGGTGTTCATAGCACAGCCCAAGAATTTTCCTCAAGAGCTTTTATGGTTCTTTTGGTACTTGTGTCACCAATAATATATCTTCATGGAATTTAAGTGTGATAAGTTTAGGGATTTTGAAAACTTTGAACCTTCACTTAAAATATTTCTGTTGTGGTTCAAACCTTAGAAATTTGGGGTTCATCATTTTACATATTCCCCTGGATGCAAATCATTTATGTTTCATAGGCCAATAAAATATTGTCAATGGTGTTGTCTAAGCAATGCGTTTAGTGTCATTTTTGTTGCGATTTTCAGTTATGATCTTGGATTTGGAAGAAGAATATTTTTTGATAAAGTAATAAGATTTTATTAATGTTTGGGCAAAAACATGTTCGTACACAAGAAGTATACCCAAAAAACATAGAAACTTATAAACAGATGATTTTCTAGAACGACACCCAATCTTCTATATATACAGGAACCCTATGGGTGCCCCAAAAAGAAATGAAGGAAAAGAGGCTACTACACCCTCAAAAATTCTCCTATTTCTTTCCTTCCAAACGACCCACATAAGCTCTAGCGGCAATCTTCCACACTGTGCGGTCGTCTGTTTCTACCATTATTCCAGCAGAACATTAACTCCTTCACAGTGCCTAGCATCACCTAATATATACCAAACCATCTAAATATTTCCCACCACAATCTCGATGCTACCGGACAGTGTATGAGTAAGTGATCGACGTCTTCACCCGAAACCTTACACATAAAGCACCAATTAACGTAATTAACCTTCCTTCTTCTCAAGTGTTCAGCCGTGAAGATCACTCCTCTTGTTGCTAACCATGAGAAAAAGCACACCTTTCTTGGAATATTTAGGATCCAAATTGAACTATGTGAAAAGACAACTACCTTCCTAGCCAAAAGCTTTCCATGTAGGACTTAACAGAGAACACACTATTATTCTCCAACCCTCACCTCCAAACATCAAAACTATCATCTGGTGTACTTTCTCTGTGGAGTAACTCAATCAAACTTTGAAACTCTACCACCTCCCAGTGCTGAAAGTTGGAAGAAGAATTATGAAGCTCAAAGAACAATCTTCCAACAAAATAGGTGCATCATAAATGAGATATGGCCAAAAGTAAAAGAGGCTGGAATTATACTTCGAGCCATCCTCATGGGGAAATGTAAAAGAAACACTTAAGGAGTACAATGCAAACAACAACAATTACGCCACAATCCCAAACAAGTTGGGGTCGGCGACAAGAATCTTCATTCCTTCATTGAGCTCCACTCATATCATCATCATTACCGAAATAAATAAAAGTTCCAGTAATGAGGATTCATCACGAATTGGCAAGTTTTAAGGAGTACAATGCATCTCACGAAATTTTTCAATACTCCAAATAAAAATGATCCGGCCGAAATTGTTGAGATCATATTAAATTTGTCAACCAATACTTCACCAAAAGGAAGGAATGAAGAGTGAGCAAATTATATGGAAGAAGAACCATCATAGCACAAAAAATATTTCACAAGAACAGAAAAAAGGAGGTTGAAAAATAAAACAAGGCTCAAAGAAAAGAAAGAAAATTTCAAAAGTTTACTTTAGCCTTTTTTATCATACCATAATTTTCTCATTAAACTCCAAAGCCTTTCTTTCAAGAACCCCATGTTTTGTCTAACTATGTCTTCTCAAAATTTTCCACTATCTCATGCTTTTCCTCTATCTTTTGTCTACCCATGTATTGTCAAAATTTCCCACCATTCCATATGTTTCAACTATCATTTGGTTCTATTTGCCATAAAACCCCACATCTCATATCTTGTTTTGCCACAAAAATCCAACAATCCATGCCATGCAAATCACTTCATCCCATGTCTTGTTTGCTGTAAAAATCACTCTATCCTATGACTTGTTGCCTAGCTCATAACTATATCTGTGTAATGGTGGGCTCAAGGAACTAAAAACCATCTATCACAGCCCCAGAGCCTCAAAGCCGCAGATAACATTTAGGACTAAACGTTTGGTTGGCAAACTTTTATACACACCAGAGGAGAAAATGATAACATTCCTTGTCCAGGAACTTGCATCTTTCCCTTCTGGATTTTTGGTGGTTGAAGAGAAATAACCCTCCACAGACAATTTCTTTTACATGATTTGCATAGAGAGTAAATTTAGCTTCAGCGGAATGGATGAATGAGTTATATTCATCAAATGCACCATATATGGATACTGCAAATGGCTAGCAAAACAGGAAGTTCAAAAATATTGGGTAAGCAAGTTCTGTGACAGCTTAATTATGAATCGAATAAGATAGAAGAATAATGAACTGTTATGATCAACTCGAGGGGAATGTTTTCTCTCAACTGAAGCACAAAGCTATTTGTGAAAGAACAAAATGAACAAGCATTGGTTCGCCCATGCCAGTGAAATTATGATACATAAGCTTTCCGAAAACACACATACCAGTCCCATGTAACAACAACAACAACGCCTCAGTCCCAAACAAGTTGGGATTGGCTATATGAATCCTCACTTTTCCATTTAAACTCAACTCATATCATCATCATACCAAATATCTAACACTCCCATGCATCTCAATTTATAATCTTGAAGAGATTAGGTGAAAATATACACTTCCAACAAGTGAAAAAAACCATCGAAGTTGCAGAAATATAATGACTAATCCTGGGTAAATGACAGAAATTTTACTATGAACTATCAAAGAGCAGATTTATTGGGCTCTAGCATACACTTGGTGGGAATAGATCACATACTAATTCCCTTTCAAGTAAGCTAGGTATACACATGCATGGAGACATTAAAAGCTTTGAGCCTATCTGTAAGATTCAAGGGATATTACCTGCTTCCGAGCTCTAGATCTTGCAGCAGACTCTCTATTTTTTATCATTCTCCTCTGCCTCCTTTCAACAACTTTCTCCACAGCACCGCCTTTCCTGCCCCTTAAACCACCACTAAAGACATAAGGTACTGGAGATATCGAAGATGTATCTCCATTACTCTTCCCAAGTCCATCTGATGAAACTGCTGGAGATCCTGTTGCACCAGTTACACCTCCAGCTCCAAAACCAACCATATTCATTCCTCCACCAGTCAAAGCAGCACTTTGAACTAAACTACTACCAAGTGCTGGATCAGAAATACCAACAATCCCACCCCTCATCCCTGGACTGCCTAATTGACCACTAGTTGGGATGGCCATGGGAGCACCATAAGCCAAACCAGGTTGCTTAGGAAAAAGGGGTTGCTGCTGCTGCTGTTGCTGTGGCTGCTGCTGCAGTTGCATTGTTCCTTGCTGTTGTTGCACAGATATGATCTCATTCACATTCAGTGGTAACTTACCAGAGTGAACACCAATTCCACTATTATTATCCATGTTCCTACTAGCCACCATAGCTGTATTCCCATTGCTCTGTTGATATCCAAATCCCACTCTAAGACTATTTCCAGCATGTGACATATCACCAAAGACCCCAACATTACTAGCTTTTGCAACTAACTGTGCATCTTCTCTCACAACACCAGCTCTAACCAAGAAATCCTCAAGTGTCATCTCTCCTAAAGTCTGTTGCCTACGAGGCATGTTCGATAACCCCACATCACCATTTCCATCCTTTCCACCATAATACTCTTTTGACATATCCTTCCACACTTCATCAACAGTCTTCTGACTCAGTGTCCTCGGTAAAGTTAAAGACCCTTGCCTCTGTAAATTCCCACCTGGAACACTCGCTTCTTGTCCACCAACCCCAGAAGTTCCCATGTTCTGACTCTCTTCTGCACTCCATATGTTCTTTAACAACTCATCCATGTTCATTGACCCAAAATCCTTTCCACTCCCTCTCAGAAACTCATCAAAAGTCAGTGAATAAACAGACGACTGCCGTGCCAATGGAACACCAGCACCACCACTTCCACTTTCCCCCGGTGGCTCATTTCCACAGTTCTTTATATTCAAATTACTCCCCATTTACCTAAAAACTCGAGTCCTGCTTCTAGCGTTGAACCAGCGATAGGAAAAACCCTCAACTTTAGAGCAAAATCTATCTATTTTGACTTGAATTTGCCTAACTAGGCAACTAGCTTTTCGCCTTCAGCTTTTGAGCATTAAATTTCAACCACAAGCACTAACTCACGGGCTTTGACTTTTATGGCCAACTCTCCCCCAATAGTACTTCAAAGTTCACTCCTCTATTCAAAATCAAGTACCTGGTCAGATCAATAAAAAGTTACTTGAACTCAAACTCAACAACCCCGGATCAGAAAAATCCTCTAGCAGTGAAAAACTCTACTTGAAATTGGCTGCAGTTAAAGATAAGAACGAGAACCCCAGAGTACAAAGACCCCTATCAACCTATATAGTAGCTGCGCACATGCTTTCGGATGTGTGTCTAAAAATACAAAAAAACTAACAAAAAAAGCGTTCAACTTCAAAGAAAGGACAATCAAGCAGATACCCAGTTGAAAAACAAAGCTAATCTTTGACTAGTTAGAGCGTGTTTGGCTAAGCTTATAAGCTGGTCAAACTGACTTATAATTTTTTAGCTTATTTATGCTTTGGTAAAATTAAAAGTGCTTATAAATTAAGTGCTTATAAGCCAAAAATAAGTCAAAAGTCATAAGTTGGTCTCCCCAACTTATCAAATTTCAGCTTATAAACACTTTAAGTTTGACCAAAATATTTACTATTCTATCCCTAAAATACTTCTTTTTAAAACAAAACTCTTCGTATACCCAGTTCTTCAGCTGCATGTTAGTAATTTCAGCACTTTTATCCAAACACGTAACTGCTTATTTTTTAAATCAGTTTCAACACTTAAAAGTGCTTTTTAACACCTAATGCTTATCAGTTACTCTAAGTCAGCTAAGCTAAACGGGCTCTTAGTATTTATTCGTCCGTGCCAAAAATGTGTGTCATACTTCCCTTTAAAATTTATATGTCAATCCTTCCTTAGGACCCGTTTGGCCATGAGTTTTGCCAAAATAAATTTGGGATTTATTTTCAAAACTCATGTTTGACCATAAGTTTTGCCCATATTTTGGCCAAATCCCAAATCTCAAAATTAGCTATTGAGCTGATTTTGGGCCAAAATCCCAAAACTTGGGGATTATATAGATGTTTTTCCAAAATAAAGTTGGAAAATATGTTTTGAAAACGTACATCCAAACACATTTTCATCTTCAAATCAAACTTCACCCAAATCAGATTTTCCACACAAATTTGGAATCTATGGCGAAACGCTAGCTTAAAGTTCCCCTTCTATTTTTAATAAAAAAAATTTATAAATATATATATATATATATATATATATATATATATATATATATATATGTGTGTGTGTGTGTATATATTATTTTAAATTAGAAATTTCAAAAGTATTACGTATCCTTTTTTAAAAAATTTTGTGCTTAAACAAATGTTACCCCCATAAATTAAAATGGAGGATGTAGTAAAGTTCATCATGTATCTTTATATAATCGCACACATATAGAGAGATACCATAGTGTTACTAACGATCACAAAATTTTTACTAAGATCATCTCCAACCTAAGCTATTTTTGAGGCCAAACGCTATTTTGGTGTTAGATTTTGTGTTACCATTTCTTACACTATTTGGTATGTGAATAGTGTTGCATCAAATTTGGCGTAACATTATTCATCAACACCATTACTGTTTATCAATATTTTATTATTATCTTTTATTATATAACACTTTTAATTTAACATATTATAAATTTTGTAATTACCTATACTTTTTATGTACTATCTTTATGATATTAATTCTATATTTTAGTTTTAGTGTATAATTTTTATAAATTAATTTTCGTATATTTTAGTTTTATATAAATTTTAAGTTAATTTTTTTATAAGTTATAATTGTATAAAAATATATAACAATCAAAAAATTAAAAAGTGCAAATCTAAAATATAATATATTGTAATAAATAACACAATGTTCATTAAATAACATAAAAATAAATATTTAATATAATAGCGACTGACATAGATTAAAATTACAAATACATTAAATAACATAATGGGATGAGAAAATTACAACAATAATCTAATACTCCGGTAGGTCGCTTCCAGATCCACCAATATCATTAAAATATTGATTGTATGGGGTAGAGGATTGTTGTGGTTGTAGCTGTTGAAATTGTTCACTTCTTTTATCCATTATTCGTTTTTGTTGTTTTCGAGTAAATTCACGAATATTTGGTTCATCAATAGAATCTAAATTCGAAAATAAAATTTTATTTTCTTCTTTAAATTCTTTTAGTTTCAAAGTTCTATCCTTTATCTCCATGTCTTTTGCACTACGTAATGCATTAATAGAGTATTTATGGAAGCAATAAAAATTAAACTAAAATTTACCATAATGTAATATTTATTTAATTATATCTTATCAATGATTTCATTATTATTTAACTTATCCATTAGTATGTATAATGTATAATATTTTCTTATAATTTATATTATTTAAAAATTTATAGTGTAAAATAATTTTATATTAAATGGCTATACAAGAAAGAAATATAAATTATATGGGATGAATATGTAAAAAGAAAAAGAGGGGACTTTTTTTATGAAATAAAAATAATGATATAATATAGAAGATAGAAAAGAACATAAAAGGAACATTTTTTTGGTATAAAAAATAGTGTAATGGATTGGAATTAATTTGCACCATTTTGGTGTTTACACCATTTCGGAGTAAGAAAATGGTGCAAGGGTTGGAGAGTTACTAAGAATCAGAAATTTTTTAAATTTCAAAAAAGAAATTTCTTATACTTTTGATGAAGTACTTAGAAGTAGAGACCATAGAGTTACTAAGAATACTCTCCATGAAACTTATTTTGCCCTTACCTCTAAGTTTTAAATTATCGGTAACTCTATGGTCTCTCTCTCTCTAGTTAGGTTATCTTTGATGCGTTTCACTTAGTCTATGTCACATATCTTTCTGTCTCTCACCTTGGCTAGCATGTATAGCTTCGTATCCCCGCCTTTGTCCCTAAGTTCTTCATATAAGCATCCAAACACTACGTCCCACTTCACCTTCTCATTAACTAAAATCACGCATTAACACTAATTAACCCAAAAGGTAACCTAACTGAGAGAGAGAGACCATAGAGTTAATGCGTAGGCCTTGACCCTAGGTTCAAACCGGTGAAACAAAAGAGAAGTCCCCAGTACGAGGTAAAACATGCATTCATAAAGGACAAGGTAACTAAACTTCTCAAAATAGGGTCACTTCGGGAAGTAAAATATCCCGAATGGTTAGCCAATGTAGTCGTAGTCCCTAAAAAAGGGAACAAACTTAGAAAGTGTGTAGACTATAAGGATTTAAACAAGGCATGCCCCAAATATTCTTTTCCACTGCCTAACATCGATCGCATGATCGACGCCACGGCTGGCCACGAGATACTTACCTTTCTCGATGCCTATTCCGGGTACAACCAAATTCAAATGAACCCGGCAGACTAGGAAAAGACTTCATTTATTACTAAGTATGGAACATAGTGTTATAATGTGATGCCCTTCGGGCTAAAAAATACTGGGGATACTTACCAACGCCTAGTGAATAAAATGTTCAAAGAACAAATAGGTAAGTCAATGGAAGTTTATATCGATGACATGCTAGTTAAGTCCCTGTGCATAAAGGACCATTTGGCTCATTTGCAGGAAACGTTCGAGATTTTGAGGAGATATAACATGAAGTTCAACCCTGAGAAATGTACTTTCGGGGTCGGTTCGGGCAAATTCCTGGGCTTGGGAATCGAGATCAATCCCGATAAAATCAAGGCTATTGAAGACATCACCGTCGTGGACAATGTAAAGGCCGTGCAGAGGCTGACTGGACGGATAACTGCTTTAGGCTGATTCATCTCGAGTTCGTCGGATCGAAGCCACAGATTTTTCTCTTTACTCAAAAAGAAGAATGATTTTACCTGGACCCCGGAGCGCCAACAAGCGTTAGAAGGATTAAAGCGATACCTGTCACTGCTTCACACGCCAAAGGCAGATGAGAAACTCTACTTGTACTTGGCAGTATTGAAAATAGCGGTAAGTGGTGTCCTAGTTCAGGAAGAGCAAGGTACGCAATTTCCCGTTTATTATGTAAGTCGAACCTTAGGAGAAGCAGAAACTAGGTATCCACACTTAAAGAAATTGGCACTTGTACTGATTAGCGCTTCTAGAAAGTTAAAACCATACTTTCAATGTCACCCCATAACCACTTACCCACTTCATAATATTTTGCACAAGCCCGAACTATCGGGCCGGCCAAATGGTTCATCGAACTCAATGGGTATGATATCGAGTACCAACCTCGAACGACCATCAAGTCCCAAATTTTGGCGGACTTGTGGCCGATTTTACGCCGGCCCTCGTACCCAAAGTTGAAAAAGAGCTTTTATTAAAGTTAGACACATCATTAGGTGTGTGGACCCTTTTCACAGACTGTGCTTCGAATGTGAAGGGGTCCGGTTTAGGCATCATTCTAAACCCATCCACGGGTAGCACTATTAGGCAGTCTATCAAAACTTCTAGGTTAACTAACAATGAGGCCGAGTACGAGGCCATGATTGTAGGTCTCGAGCTAGCTAAAAGCTTGGGAGCGGAAGTCATTGAAGCCAAGTGTGACTTTTTACTGGTTGTGAACCAAGTGAACAAAACTTTCGAAGTTCGAGAGGATAGAATGCAAAGATATTTGGACAAGCTGCAGGTAACTTTGCACCGTTTCAAGAATGGACTTTACAGCATGTAACTCGGGAACAAAATAGTGAGGCTGATGCACTTGCAAATCTGGGGTCATCGGCCGAGGAAGATCAGATCAGCTCGGGGACTATCGTTCAACTCTCGAGATCTGTGATCGAGGAAGGTCAGGCCAAGATAAACTCTACAAGACTGACCTGGGATTGGAGGAATAAATATATTAATACTTGAAGAACGGAAAGCTCCCATTAGACCCTAAACAGTCGAGGGCCCTACGAACCAAAGCCGCCCGATTCACATTATATGAAGATGGAACATTATATAGAAGGACATTCGATGAACCATTGGCAATATGCTTGGGACCATGGGACACCGATTATGTTTTACGAGAAATCCATGAAGGCACCTGTGGGAACCACTTCGGCGCCGAGTCGTTGATTTGCAAAATCATTAGAGCAGGATACTACTGGGATAGCATGGAAAAAGACACCAAGGAGTTTGTTCAAAAATGTGATAAGTGTCAAAGGTTTGCACCGATGATCCATCAGCCCGGAGAGCAACTTCATTCAGTCCTATCCCCATGGTCATTCATGAAATCGGGGATGGATATCGTCGGCCCTCTGCCAATGGCCCCAGGTAAAGCTAAGTTCATTTTATTTATGACTGATTATTTCACTAAATGGTTTGAAGCGCAGGCATTCGAGAAAGTAAGAGAGAAATAAGTTATAGACTTCAT